TTTCATCCGAATCGTATTTGATCTAAAATCAATGCACAACCTACCCCAACGTGCATGGCAGAGCTACTTCCAAATACCAAGTGGAGTAACTTATATTTGCCATTCATAAAGAGGTGTGTCAACTACTTGTGCATTTTATTGGCAAACAAGAGTCCTATATATTCATCTTCCTGAAATGAGAAGTCAGTTAAATTGTCATAAGATCTCTATTCTAAAGGTTCTGCAAATTATTCATGAGGTTGCACAAATGCAAAATGATAACTTAGCATGGAAAGAAAACATGTATACCAATTGTGTACTATCCTACTGAAGGAACGCCAAGATGGAAATGTAAACTGATAGAGTGAATGTGAGAAATGCAAATAGAGCTATGGTGTGGGATTTCTATAGTTAAGTGCAATTGTATCCGTTCTCTCAACTAATACTGTTTGGAAAGATGCCTACAATATTTTTAGGATGACAAAACATTTTAAGTGTACTAACATGTGCAATTGAGTGTGAAGAAGATATTAGTAAATTCATATGAAGATGGTGTTAGCAATTGGACATCGAAGAGTGTAGAACGACTTTTGCTCTAGGCGATGAACAAGCTATTGGACGTGAGCTATGTTGATAACTAGATGGACATTGCAAACGGCGAACAAGTTATTAGACAAGGAATATGTCGATGTTCGAAACGACCTTGTGGATGGTGAACAAACTAGAGGACGTGTGATTGGCAAAAAGGTTTGGATGGACTAATAGAAGACGAACAAACCAAACGACATGAAGACGTCAATAAGCTCGGTTGGACCTTGCGAGCCTTGAACAAACTAGAGGGCATGTGGTCGTTGAAGAGTTTCGATAGACCAAATAAAAAGTGTATAGTCTATAGAACACAAGGACGTTAGTATGCTTGAAGGTGCCTAAATGTTGTAGGCAAACAAGCCTAGGTATGTAGAAGCTTAAATGGACCTGATTGTAGAAGGTGTTCTTGCTATGGACAGAGTATTGGTTCTACTAAGAGCCTCTACAATCATGAAGGGAAGATGCGGACTCTTTATCAGTGTTATTTGAATTCAAATTGGTGTTATACAACTTATCTTAAGTATTGGAATCCACAAAAAGTGGACTAAAGAAGATTAAAACAATTTATCATATTTGTGCAGGCAACAGAGGATGACAGGCTGTTGTAGAAGCAGAACTGACTACTTCGGTAAACTCTCTATGGAGCTACAGAGTAAGTACAGTGGCTATAGATGACAGAATCAACAACTACTTGTAGGATTTGAATTCAAAACGGTCATTTGAGATCTCATGACTAAAAATTTAACCCAATGAAGTAGTAGAGTTAAGGGGAAACGAACAAGTGTCGATGCTCTGAGTGTTCATCTTCTTGCTGTTCTTGTGTGTAGAAGCTGTGTAAATCTAGTTGTATTTTTCTATAGAAGTCTAAGCATCTGTAATTAGAGAATAGAGTGTGAAGTTTAGCGAAGCTTGCTTGTATTTGTAGAAGCAGAGCTACAAGTAAAAGAAACATTTTCAAACGCTATAACATTTCAAAGATTACATAGTGAATTTCAACCTTGATTTGGGCTGTTAGAGTTGGGAGAATGGAGCAAGCCAGCTAAATAGGCCAAGTGGATAAGCTGAAGGGAGATGATATAATTATTAAAGCTCGGCGCGCATCTTCTTCCTAACAGTTATAAAATTTCTATCATCCTAATAACCACATTCTCTTCAGAGAAGAGAATAAATAATGACGAACTTATTGCATGATCCGTTTACTGGTAATTATAAAAACCTTACCGCCGCCACTGTTGCAGTCCCTGGGATTATTGGTTCCATGTGGGCAATAGCACAGAAAGTCTGTGTCTCGTGATCGTCCACATCGGCCTCCACTTTCTCGACAACCAGTACAAATCTTGTTAGTTAATATATCCCATTTTAACTGGAAGCCATTCCCCAACAACTCCTTGTAGTTGACATCTTTGATAGTTTGATTAGAGAACCCTTCCTTCAGTTGTACTGGTACCGCTGACACTGACAGGCAGGAATTATTTTGGCGATAGAAGGTGCTATTTGGAGGTTTTAATGCAACAGAGATGTTGTATGTGGCGTTAGAAGTACAACTCACGGGGGATGTTGGGAAGGGAAAAGAAGAAGGGTTGGTGCAGTTATAGAAGAACAAGAGTTTAGGATGAAGAGAAAAACTGTTGTTTAGGAAGATGTTTATGGGAACGAAAATGAAGGGACGAGGAGCAAAGCAAGAAGTATCCCTTTGCCTTACTAATTCGATGGAACTGTCCTCGTAAGAGATGCTTTTAACTGTGTAGGTAGCATACGTAGCTTTTGTTCCTTCACAAGTGATCTCAAATCCACGGTAACCGCATAATTCACGTCCTTCTCCAGGAATATAAAAGGGATAGCTTATGTTCAGACAGTTGCCTTTACAACTGCGGGTTTTGCACACTTCATATGACACTTCATCCAACGACGACTGGACAGAATCTTCTAAGATGGCAATGAAAAAGATGCAGAACGCTGTGCAAACTAAGCCTCGTGTGTAAATGCAGCGTAGACCCATATCTGGATTTCGATATGGTTTTAGTCTGAAGCATACGAAGTTTCTTTTCTTTTTGGATATCAATGCTCTAGAATGGAATGGAACGGCATGAAGAAGAAGAAGAAAAAGAAGGAGGAGAAGAAGTTGTTTGATTCCTCACGTGAAAGTGAAAAGAAAACCCTTGTTATTGGTAATTCCTTCTGCTGGTCTTGTGAGATCAGCTGCTTAAACACGGCAGTTGACTTGGAAAGAGGACGGGAAGACTAGCACAAGAGACTTTTAAGAAGAGCCAGGTCGAGACAGAGACACCCAAGGGAGCAATGTCATCCATCACTTTACCTCTTTGATGATGATAGGTCGGCGAAATGTGAAGACCTGCCATTAGTGAACTCGCACAAATCTTGCCCCGATTGACGAGTTATTGCAAGAGTTGACTCCTATTTTCATATATCCCCTCAAGTTGGATCCTTCACAAGATGATGATGAAAAAAAAAACATAAAAATCCAGAAACTTTTATCCCCTGTTATGCTTATTAAAATGAAACTAAATAAGCTAGATTAGGGAAATAAGTACAAGAAAAAAAATCAGTGGGTCTTTGACAATTAGAGGTCTCTGTTCGAAAATTAGTTTTAAATAAGCAGCAGCAGCAGGCGTTAGTTCTAGGAAAAAGTGGGAAATTCCATAAAAGTAAATACCAAGCACAATGAGCATGAACAACAAAAATTGTTGGCCTACTTGAGAAAGTTTCATAAGAGGGTTTCGTTGATACTTAAATTTTAGTCGACAATTCAAGTATTCATTAGTCTAAAAGTATAAAAATAAAAATAGAAAAATAATAATAAAAATAAATCAATCAAAAAAATAATTAAATACATAACAAATGAAAAAGTGATGACCAAAAAAAGAAAAAAGAAAAAAAAGCGATAAAAGGAGGTTTTCTTTTTCAGTACGGGCTCTGAACTGTTTGAATAAACCTTAGCCCATGAAAACATTTGGATTCGATTTTTGCTATTCATTTAGAGGAAAAAATTACAAAAAAAATCATAAATATATTGTACTTTTTTCAATTCAATCTTAAATCTTTTAAATGTATCGATTGAGTCCTAAATCTTTTTACAATTTATCAATTGAGTCTATCCCGCCAGTTTAACTAAAAATCGCTGACGTGATATCGGCGCTCACGCGGAAATTTTTATTATTAATTTTTAAATATTTTTTTTCGATTTTTTTAATTATTATTATTATTATTAAAGCCCGATAGAAAAGAGATGAGGGAAGGTTTTCTTAACGGCCTGATCCGTCGGTCATCTTCGCCATCACCGATTTCTGCGAGCATCAGAAGTGCTCCGCTCCTTTGCCGTGATTGAGAGCTTCGAGCGGTTTCAACTTTCGACCTCCTTCGGAGATGACGCTGACTGCTAACGCTGAGAATTCCCCACACTACTCTCCTGACGTATTATCCTTCGTCGCCCTCGTTTCTTGGCATTCCGTATTTGTACCTTTTCCTGCTCTGCTTCTCCCTGTTCCACGACCGGGAAATCCGCGGAAGTTATCTCGCGTTTAATCCTTCAATATAACTTCCGACCCTCATTTGGTGACATTTCCAGAACGTCCTCGCTTGGATTTTCTCATCACTGTTCGGAGCTAGAAATCAAGCTTGATAAAGGTGAGTTCATTATTTGTTACTCTCGGTGATAGTTTTAGAATGAAAACAGAGACTGAGACTTCATACATTGTCAATCTAAAATCTGAAATGATCGAGGCCGAGTTGATGATTTAGGTCTCTGTTAGCGCTTATTGCGATGGGATGAAATGAATCGTTACCATAAACTCATGTTTAAACTAAGAAACTAAGTTGCCCACCATATGTTCGACAAAATGCCCGAACTGAGTCCGTATAGATTAGTCCTTGATCCTGACCTGTTTCGAGTGTATAATGATATGTCACGCATGATTGCAACTTTTTGTTGATAGCTAAGCATGATTTTCTGCCGCATTTTATTTTCACCGAGACCAAATCTGAGCAATTTCTTTTTGATTGTGTTTGCTCGGTGTTAATACGTCTTCCTGCGGCGTTCAATGATGGTCATCCAATCGCGTCCCTGTTTTTGTTCTCTGTGTCTGTGGAGGCTGTGGCGGGCGTATGTTAATGACTGTGTGGCTTTATATAATTTCTGTATAGAAATTGGAAACCAAGGAAATTAAAAACATATTGAATTCTACGTGGTCTTGCGGTCCATGTACATTCAGCTGCCTAAGATGCAAATTCATGTTAAGATGCTTTCTGCAATTAATGACATGACTTTATATAACTTCTGTCGGCCTTAGCATTGGTATCATACGTTCAACAATAATAGACGAAAAATTTCTGAAGTACTCTTATCTAACAATCATTGTACACAAGTTGCTCGTTGTATTGAAAGCCTAGATGTGCTTACAGTACAAACTTAAATTTCACACAGCCATGGACATTGAAGTGGTTGGTGATGATCTTGATGGAGAAGACAGATAGGGCTTGGGAGGAACTAGCAAGCAGTCAACACTGCCTCTTAGCATATCCACCACCTCGCTCATTGTTGGCCTAATTGAAGGATTAGTCTGTATGCACCACAAGCTCACTATTATCATCTTCCTTGCTTTCTCTTTGTCTCCTTCGCTTGTGACATTCTGCAGTCCAAACTCTTCTTGAAGTTCAAGACGCTTGTGAATCCAATGCGGGAAGTATATTTCACTGGTTCTCTCTGCTCCGGTCACTACATTTTTCCTCCCACCAACCATTTCAAGCACTGTCATCCCAAAGCTGTACACATCTGATTTTTGGGATATTCCTCCGATGTTCCTGCAAAACACTTCTGGCGCGATAAACCCCGCAGTCCCTCGCGCACCGAATAGTGAGATCGTGCTCTCCTCTCGATGGCATATCTTTGCAAGGCCAAAGTCGGAAATCTTGGGGCAGTAGTTTTCATCGAGAAGGATGTTGTGCGGCTTTATGTCGAAGTGTAATATTCTTGAGTTGCAGCCTTGGTGCAAGTATTCGAGCCCTTGAGCTATGCCTAGGGAGATTTGGTACAAGGTGTCCCATCCGAGGTGGCGGCAACCTACCTTGCTGTAGTTCTCTTCGTATATGAGTTTCTCCAGAGATCCATTGGGCATGTACTCATAGACGAGAGCCCTTTTGGTTTTGTGAAAGCAGAAACCTAGCAGAGTAACAATGTTGACATGGGAAGTTCTGCTCATGCTGTTTACCTCATTGATGAAGTCTTCACCATCTCCTTTCAGCTTGGTTAGGATTTTCACTGCCACGAGATGACCATTTGGGAGCTTCCCTTTGTACACACAACCATAGCCTCCTTGGCCTAGTTTTTCTTTGAATGAGTTGGTCATTCTCTTAATGTCAGCATATGAATATCTTCTCGTTACTAAAATTCCACGATTTTCGAAAAAGACCTCACATTTATGACTCTTTTTCATCTTTCTGCTCCCTGTGATCGTGGATTTCTGCTTGGATATTTTCTGTTGACAAAGATAGGCTAGGACTATAATAGCGACACCAAATGCACTGATTGATGCACCTGCGTATCCAAAGGACATACAAAGCATAAATAGAGATAATCCTTTTAATTTTGTAGTCCTAGTTTCATTTAGGGAAAAAGTTACAAAATCCCCAAATTATGCTTGCTGCGACACATTTACCTTGAACTTTTTTTTGTGATATCAAAAACTCCTAACTATATCCACCGTGACATATTTACCATAACTTTTTTTGACATAAAAAATTCAAAATTTGTACCTATGTGACACATTTACCCTTCTCAAAAGGTTCTGTTAGATGATTTTTCAGTTAAAACGTCATATTTATTTCACTTGAGCCATGTGGGCGCAATGTCAATACTGTTTGCTTTGTGGCATCCATGTAGATAGATTTTTTACGATTCTCATTGATAGAACTTTGATGGAGAGTAAATATATTATTCAGGTTAGGGGTGAGCATGGTCCGGGTGGGCGGTTCCCACCCTAGAACCGGGAACCGCCCACTAAGGACCGGTTCCGAAAAATTGAAATCGGGAACTGCCCGTTGGTTCCTTGGACCCACTCGAGAACCGGACCGCCGGTCCGGTCGTTCCCGGTGGGTCCATGGAACCGGTCCCACTAGCCAAGGACGGAGACGGAAAGACAAAGATGAAGACGAAGATGGAGAGTCGGAGATGGTAAGGTAAGCATCGACCGAGAAGAGTGAGAGTGAGAGTGAGCGTGAGCGTGAGCCGAAAGCGAAAATAGGTGTTTCTCGGCTCAATGTGAGGTTGTGAACGTCGAGCGAGTTAGGTTTAGTTTAGGAACTTAGGATTTTTCTTTTTTTAAAAAATTAAAAATTAAATAAATATATTATATTTATTATTATATTATTGGTCTGGTCCGGGTGGGCGGGCGGGCGGTTCCACACCTAGAACCGGACCGGTACCCATCGGTTCCCAAAAATTGGAATCGGGAACCGGACCAGTTCCCTTAGGAACCAACGGTTATGGTCTGGTTTTGGGCGGTCCTGAGCGGTCTGGACGGTTCCCGGTTTTTTTTGCACACCCCTAATTCAGGTACAAGTTTGTGATTTTTGGTGTCACAAAATTTTTTTTAGGGTAAATGTGTTTCGGTGAGAATAATTTAAGGTTGTTGGTGGCTTTTGCCCTTTCATTTAAATACTGGCCAAATGTCTAGATTTGAATTCATAAGCATGCATAACAAATTTAATGTTGTACTTACCAATAGCAACTTTCTTCTCGAAGCTCCTAGCTTTCAATTTCCCTGCAACATAAATGTTGTCAAGTAGAATGCGAAAGCTGACCGGATCTTTGCAATAAAGTCAAGAGCGAGAGATAACGAAGTTACCAGAGAAATAAATCAAGGAATAATAAAGAGGACAAAAGATTTATGTGGTTCAATCCGAGTGCTGGTACCTACCTCACAAGGCGATCGAGCCACAAATAATCGACTAATCAATGGGAAAGTTACAAAGTTGCAATCATTTACATGCTCAAGTATTTTTCAGCTCTAAATTACGCCCAAACTCACATTGTTTAGCCTCACGAAATTTTGCGATAAAATAAATCACGAAAATTTCCTCATGTATAACTTTCTGCACATATTTCACCGTGTTTAGATAGTCTCTCTTTTAACTTGTATTAATCTCCTCTTCGTGTGCTCACCAGAGAGTGTATTCTTTGTACGGAGCTCCTCTCTCTTTTATATTGTGCTCGTCTCCATTGTGCAATTAATAAGAGGAGCTCAATTTTAAGAGAGTTTGACTTTGCAATAGAAGAAGACAAACTACAATTTTCTTATCTTCTATGACAAACGTCAATTGCGGTTGAAAAGGGAGCTCAAATATGTGGCCAAATGAAAGCTCCAACGGGTCCAAAATTAGAGCCATGAAAGGCCAAAAGGAACAAACTCTCTAAGAAATTTTTTGGGATTTTTTCCCTCGTAGAGATGGTAAAACAATTATGACCAACTTGGACAACTCTATCACACTTCCAAAGTCCTTCATACATTACGAACCGATCTACATCCTCTGACTCGAGTCGGATTGTATATACGAGCTTAAACTCAAGATAATTCAACAATTCTCTACCTTAACTCGATGTTTGCATCCAAATAATAGTGCTTATCATACATGCTAACTCTCCTAACGTCCCCGATGGGCACTCATTCTCCACATATGCCAATTAAGTTCCAGCAAAGCTTGAGCTTTGGCAAAGGAACAGATTTCTGCATCATGTCTGCCGGGTTCTCCACTATCGTAGAGGTGGTAAAAAAATTATGACCAACTTGGACGACTCTATCACACTTATGAACTCCTTCATACGTTACAGACCGATGTACATCCTTCGACTCAAGTCGGATAGTATATACGAGCTTAAACTCAAGATAATTTAACAATTCTTCACCTGAACTCGATGTTTGTAGCCAAATAATAGTGCTTATCATCTATTTTTCCAGTGCACCTGGACTAAAAGCATTTGGCGTACTATCCTTGCACAATACGGAATCCTACGGTATATAGGAGGATGGAATGAAGAACTCGAATGGATGATAAGTGCTACCAAAGGCAAGGATTTGGCAGCTAGACTTCTCAAGGTATCTTTCCTAGCGACCATTTATTGCATCTGGATGGAGCGTAATCATCGACGTTTCCAACACAAGTCACATGATGCCCCCATAATCTTGGCTAAAGTTCGTAAACTTGTCAAAGGGCGAGCTTCGCGCTACAAAACTTTCGACCTTCTAGGGCAAATGTAACATTGGCTAATATATGGAGACTCTCACACTCCATTTTTTAGTGATCATAGTCCTCTTTGTAATGCTGGGGTATGCCCTAAGCTTTTGTAAGTCAACTTATAAATGGTACTTATATTTCACACCAAAAAAAAAAAATAGTGCTTATCATACATGCTAACTCTCCTAACGCCCCTGACGGGCACTCATTCTCCACAGACGCCAATTGAGTTCCAGCAAAGCTTGAACTTTGGTAAAGGAACAGATTTCTACATCATGTCTGCCAGGTTCTCCACTATTGTAGAGGTGGTAAAAAAATTATGACCAACTTGGACGACTCTGTCACACTTATGAACTCCTTCATACATTACGAACCGATCTATATCCTCCGACTCGAGTCGGATTGTATACACGAGCTTAAACTCAAGATAATTTAACAATTTTCTACCTTAACTCGATGTTTGTAGCCAAATAATAGTGCTTATCATCCATGCCAACTCTCCTAACACCCCTGACGGGCACTCATTCTCCACATACGCCAATTGAGTTCCGGCAAAGCTTGATCTTTGGCAAAGGAACATATTTCTACATCATGTCTGCCGGGTTCTCCACTATCGTCATCTTTTTCACAATTACCTTACCTTTTGCCACAACATCTCGAATGAAATGGTACTCGATGTTGATAGGTTCCATTTGTTCATGATAAATTGGATTCACAGCCAGATATATTACACCTTGGTTTTCACAATGTATGAAAACACTTTTCTGCTCCTATCCAAAGTCCGAGAGCGGAAGACAAGGCAACATCATCCTATAGGATTCCTTCCAACTTAATACACCACCTGCTAAAGTAAACATGTACCCTGCTAAAGATTTGCAATCATCTAAATCACCAGCTTGATTGAAATCCACATACCACTATCATCGCCTTCCTTTTGATACACTACCAACATTTGTTGTCCTCTATAAATATCTAAGGATCCACTTCATTGTTTCCCAATGAGTTTTACTAAAATGCTCAATGCAATGGCTAACGTCTATAGCTTGTGAAATGTCAGGCCTAGTGTATACCATGACGTACATAATATTACCCACTACACTAGAGTAAGAAACACATGACATATGCTCCTCCTCTTCCTCTTTAGTCTGCGGTGATAACTTATTAGAAAGTTTAAAGTAGTTGGTGAAACATATGCTCAACAGATTCAGCTAACTGCATGTTAAAACGTGCTACAATTTTCTCACTATAATTCTTTTGAGACAGACGCAACACTCCTACAGTTTTATCATGCAAAATCTCTATAGATGATATTTTTTTAGTAGCATCTAAATCTTTCATCTCAAAATTACTACTCAACCACCACTTCAACACATCAATATTATGCATATGTTTAATTGCTGTCAACATGTCATCAACATTTAATACAAGATAAATCAAAGACCCATCCTCAAATCTCTTAAAGTAAACACAACTATCCAATTGACTGTTCGAATAGTCCTCACTAGTTGTGAAAACATTAAAACACTCGTACCACTTGCCTAGGAGATTGTTTTGGTCCATATAAAGATTTCTTTAATAAGCAAATAGGATCTTCTTTACTTGGAATAACAAATACCTCTAGTTGCCTCATTTAAGTCCGCTTCTCCAACTCACCGTGAAGAAACATTGTTTTCAAATCTAGCTACTCTAACTCAAGATCTTGTGTAGCAACTAAGGCAAGTAATACTCGAATAGAAGTATGTCTTACGATAGGAGAGAACACCTCATGGTAATCAATATCGTCCTATTAAGTATACCCCTTTCGCAATAAGTCTAGCCTAATACTTTGCTACCTCGATATCAGGAATGTATTCCTTCTGTTTGTAGACCCATTTGCACCTGACAATCTTTTGGCCTTTGGGTATTGACCAGCTCCCATGTTTGATTTTGATCAGTTGATTCCATCTCTTCACTCATGGGTGCTAGCCAGTACGACGACTCAGCACTAGCCATCACTTTATAGTAAGATAAAAGCTCATCTATCTCCACCTCATCACCTACGGTCAATGCATAAGCAATATTAGAATAACCATAATCTACCGGTGATTTAATTTGTCTTCTATGTCTAGCTGAGACTATACTGTGCTGTGGC